TCAAGAAAATAGATACTATAAAAACTTGGAAGTAGAAGATGATCTATACATCCTTCTATTTCTTTCATTTGGTCCATGATCTTAGTATAGATCCCTCAAATGTTTCGCAAGCATAATGTCTCAACTCTTTTCCCTGCAGGAGTTTCCTCCAAAAAGCAAGCTCGATCCTGAAGTCTACGGCAGCCAAAATAGTACCATAACCAAAGAACAAATAGAGGATAAGCTGGACGGATTGACAGTTGATCAGGTAACAAATGAAACAATCTGTTTCTCTAGACAAACGTGTGATTTACATGGTGCTTCCTCAAGAGTAGCATACGCTATTCAGCAACTCATACAGTTCATGTATAAAAATTCTTGAACAGGCACTCAAGGCGAATCAGCTATTCATATTGAATCACCATGACACACTTATGCCGTATGTGAGGCGCATAAATACCACAACAACGAAGATCTATGCCTCAAGGACTCTGCTCTTTTTGCAAAAAGATGGAACCTTGAAGCCTTTAGCTATTGAGCTAAGCTTGCCCCACCCAAATGATGATAAACTTGGTGCTGTCAGTAAAGTATACCTACCTTCCGAACAAGGTGTAGAAGGTGCACTTTGGCAGTTGGCAAAAGCTTATGTTGCAGTTAACGACTCTGGCGTTCATCAGCTCATTAGCCACTGGTAAAGAAAAACGACATATATGGCGACACTTTAGATTTAGATTATCACAAAGAACTGGTTTTCTGAGAAGTATATAATATTGATGCAGGTTAAATACGCATGCTGTCATCGAACCATTTGTCATTGCAACGAATAGGCAGCTGAGCGTGCTTCATCCTATTCATAAGCTACTACAACCTCACTACCGTGACACCATGACTATCAACGCTTTGGCTCGCCAAATCCTGATTAGTGCAGGAGGAATTCTTGAGAGTACTGTTTTCCCTGGAAAATTTGCGATGGAAATGTCAGCAGTTATTTACCAAAACTGGGTATTTCCTGAGCAAGCACTTCCAGCTGAACTCGTCAAGCGGTGAGTGTGATTCCATTTTCTTATCAAATTACACTTTTTGGGTCCAGATTATCCATCGCAAAGCTGTAACAACTTGTACTAGAAAATTTGGACAAAACAAATTATGAGTCGTCAATGATGAATCTTGCTCACATGGCTTCGTAATATTTTGATTCGACAGAGGGGTTGCAGTTGAGGACTCCAATGCCCCACATGGACTGCGTCTATTAATTCCAGATTATCCTTTTGCTGTTGACGGGCTTGAGATCTGGTTCGCCATCAAAACATGGGTGGAGGATTATTGCAACCTCTACTACAAAACAGATGAATCGATCCAGAAAGATAGTGAACTTCAGGCCTGGTGGAAGGAACTCAGAGAAGAGGGACACGGTGACTTGAAAGATAAGCCCTGGTGGCCTAAAATGCAGACTCGCAAGGAGCTGATAGAATCTTGCACCACCATAATCTGGGTAGCTTCCGCCCTTCATGCATCAGTCAACTTCGGGCAGTACCCTTATGCTGGTTATCTCCCAAACCGCCCAACCGTAAGCAGAAGATTCATGCCTGAGCCTGGAAGTCCCGAGTATGAAGAACTCAAGACAAACCCTGATAAGGCTTTCCTGAAAACAATCACTGCCCAGTTGCAGACATTGCTCGGTGTTTCCCTGATAGAAATTTTGTCAAGGCATGCTTCAGATGAAGTTTATCTTGGCCAAAGAGACACTCCTGAGTGGACCATAGATGGAGAGGCTCTGGAAGCATTTAAAAAGTTTGGAAGTAAGCTGGCTGAAATTGAGGGCCGCATTACACAGTCAAACACCGACCCTAAATACAGAAACAGGACTGGACCAGTGAAGCTGCCGTACACGTTGCTATTTCCCACCAGTGACCCCGGTTTAACTGGCAAAGGAATTCCCAATAGTGTGTCAATCTGAGCAATTTCTGGGATGATTTGATCAGGGATCAAAGCACATTCACAAAACTTCCATCTATTTTCTGGTCCTTGTGAGCATATTACTACCCAAATAAATAGTGATCTTAAGCGAATGTAATGTCGTTTTAAATAAATCTACAAGTGTGTGAGGGTTGTATGATAATGTTCCATCTTGTTTCAGATCATCATTGTCATTTCTCTGTTGTAATGAGATCTCTTGAAGGAAGAAGTTAGTAAAAGCGATAATCATGTGCAGAATTATATACTTGCGCCGTTTTCAGACGAAGCTTTCCATTTAGTATTTTATAAGATCCTCTCTAATTATAGTTAATTAAGAGTAAAATTAATTAGCAAATTAATGTGCCTTTTCCTTTGACATTCCTAGCCACGTTACTCACCGAACTGTGTTTGGATTGTAAATTATTTGAGATATTTTTACTGTAACACTTTTTGTGACGTGATGTATGTGAGATAAAAAGATAATTAGGAAGATAAAAAGCTGTATTGGAAATTGTAATGGTGATGAAAAGATTTTCAGATATGTTTCTAGAGGTCCATACCCCAATAAATATAATCACTCAAGAGTCTTCGCTGCTGCTGTCTTCCTTGTTTGGATTGTAATTTTTTTTCAAAAAATTATTATATTTTTCATGAACACGTTTCTTAATCTTCATTTTATCTCATATATATCAAATTGTTACATTACATAATTTTTTTTTTTTTACAAAAACTTCATAAAAATAGCGATTCAAACGAGCTCGCTACAAATAAAACTCGTGTTAGTACTTACAAAGACGAATTAGAAAGTGAAAATTATCCCTAAGCTAGTAGCTGTAGAATATACCAATGACAACAAAGTATTCTTTCTGCTTTTGAATTTCTAGCGTTCTAGGAAGACAAATCAAAAAATAAAAAAAAAATCATATCACGCCGCAATTGGGATATTCTTTTTTAATTTTCTTAAAAAAAAACGTATATCCAGCAATTGAGATATTCTTTTTAATTTTTTTTTAAAAAATAAGATAGGAGTATATCTCTTTTTTCAACAGCCTGATAGGAGTATATCTCTTGGTGATTAAGGATTTTTTACTTTTTGGTTCCTGTCTTGTTGCAGCCTCGTCCACGGTCCACCCAATCTTCTCTACATATTTCAATTACAAATATTACATTGTCATGAAGACTAATTGGTAGAGTTGGATTTCTTTTAGTGTCACTTTCACCTTCTTATTCATTTTCCTTCACATAGAAAAACTATGTGATAGGAAGCAAACTTAGTACTTTCCTTCAATTAAAGAGTATATAATTCCCATCTAGAAACAAAAATGAATCCGTGCAATGAAGTAAGTTCAATTTTCCATTTCCTTTCTAATTATGATATAATCAATAAAACTCATATTTGATTTTTTTCCCTTTATTCTCGTACATCTATACATCAGAAAAGAAACTTCTTTTTCATAATTAGACCAGAAAGGTAAATAATGAATAATAGTAATGTAAGTAACCACTAAAAGAGTCCAATTATCAAAAGTCAAAATTATCCTTAAAAAAAGAAAGGGAAAGTCGAAATTACTCAAAAGGTCAAAATTATGATATTATCCCAAGTTAGTACTAGTATATATATATTTTTGTTAATCGCCGACATTTACTTTACTCCAACTTTAATTTATTCTAAGGAGTGATCCAATTGGTTCAAGGAAACCGACGAAAACTGAACCATTATCAAATCATACGAGTGCATAGGGGATGACCCAATTGGGCCAAGAGAAACTGAAAACTGAATCACCATCGAACCATATGGGTGTACTATACACCCATATGGATTTGGAGTAGCCACATTAATGGCAAAGTAATGAAAAGTAATGTTTGAATCTTTAATCTTCTACCCCACAAAAACTAGCCTTGTTTGATAACTTAATTCAATATTTAAATTTAATGGATTTAAATTTTAATATATTCAGACCATTTGATAACTAAAAATGAATATTTGAATTAATTATGTGGCACTGAATTTTCTAGACAAAACTTACTCTCCAAATTAAGTAATAAGCTATTTACTTATCACTAAATGTGATATGTACTCAAATGTATTATATTTACTATTTAACAATTTAATAATTTAATAGATTCAAATTTCAAATTTTAAATTTTACACTTCAGTTTTCGGACTTCAATTTTATCAAATGTTATCAAATGCATAATTACCGGTTGATTTAGTACAAGCAGAAATTGGCCAAAGTCCAATTATCAAAAGTCAATTATCCTTAAAAAAATGAAAAAGTCAAATTTTCTGAAAAAGGCCCCAAGCTTTCAAGGGAAGTTTCTCAAACGTCTTCGGAAACTGAAAATTCCACTATATAAATTAGGATTAATCACATTTTATCCCCTTAAAGAATATTCCATTTTTCAGTTTACCTCCTAACGTTTAATTTTGCTCACTTAACCCTCTTTAGGACAAAATTACCCTTGCATTATTTTGACTTTTCATTTACCTTGTTTTCCTTTCTTTTATTTCTTTTTCTTTTTCTTCTTTATTTAGTTTTTCCTCTTTCCCACAAAAATCTGCACCCAGAAATATGCAATTAAAAATTCAAAACAAAAATTTTCGTTGAAATGGAATTTTTATTGGGAAGGATGAAAGAGAGAAGAAAGAGAAAAAGAAAGGAAAACAATTTCATCTTAAGATATTTTCTTGGGAATAAAATGAGAAACTAGAAAGGAAAGAGGAAAACTAAAAATTAAAAGAATTGAAAGACTAAAAAAATTATATTTTAGGAAAGTGATTTGAATATTTTTTTAATCATTTAAGGAGAAGATAGATCTCTGTAATTTCTCTTTTTTAATTTCAATCATTAAGGTGAATATTTTTGTGGAAAAGGGAAAAATTAAATAAAGAAGAAAGAGAAAAAGAAATAAAAGAAAGGAAAACAAGGTAAATGAAAAGTCAAAATAATGTGAGGGCAATTTTGTCCCAAAGGGGGTTAAGTGAGCAAAATTAAAGGTAAGAGGTAAACTGAGAAATTGGGTATTCTTTAAGGGATAAAATGTGATTAACCCTGTAAATTAAAAACCACGCAACGGCATAAAAGACTGAAGAGCGGAAACAATTTAATCCAAGGAAAAAAGAAAATGCAAATGGGGGATTCTCCAGAGTCGGATTCGAAGATTTTCAGTGTCCGAATTGTGTCGATTGACTACTACATGGCCCCGCCAATTGCCGGAATCGACATTTCCTATAGCAGTTTTCAAGGTAATATTCTAGTAGCTTTCTAGTGTGTGTGTTTTCTTGTTAGAATTTGGTGTCTATAGCTCTTTATTTTGCTACAGATGGCAGTATTTCTAGGGCTTGGAATTGTTTAATTCATTTGGGAGGTCAATTCGTAAATTTCTCGGGGGAAGTGAATAGCTTATTTATGGAGTATTTCCAATTCTGAGGTTTTGATAGTTTCTTTTTTTCTGGGGTAGCTAATGAGGTTTTGAGAGTTTCGGAATAGTAGGCAGTATCTGCAAAATTTTTTATAATTTTGTTTCCTCCATCTTTGGACTGTTTGGGTTTTAAATGTTTGATTGAATAAAACTGGTATAACTTGAAATGTATAATCTTGAAGTTACCAAGTTACGCTAGAGTTTATCATCAAATTCTTTTTCTAAAAAAAAATTAATTTTTTTAAATTCCCCCCACAGTGGTTTGTTTAAAATCTGGGATAGATACGCTTTTGCACCCAAAATGTTAAGCCTTTGAGAATCAAGGAGTATAACATCTGAATCATATAGAAATGTACAACAAATGTTATAAAGTAAAGATAATTGTTTCGTTTGTTTGAAATGTTTCTTCTTTTTAAGAGATTTTTTCACAATTTTGAAAGTATGAAATTGGGCTTCCTGGAATTGATTTTTGCACAATTTCAAAGCTTGAAATTGGGCTTCCTGAATTGATTTGTTGCATTATGCATATTGCGTGATTCGTATAACGTGCAATTAAGTTGAGATATTATACAGGTGGAAAAGTAAATGAGGTTCCAGTTATAAGAATATATGGGTCAACTCCGGCTGGTCAGAAGACTTGCTTGCACGTGCATAGAGTAAGATGATTTCTACTGTTGAGTTTACAAATGCTTTTTGATTCTAGAAGTTCTTTGCTTAAAAAGAATAAGGCAATTTTCTTCATTTTAAGTAGTTTAAATTTGTTTAGCTGAATGTAGAAGAATCATGTTAGTTTGAGTAGTGTCTGTTTTCTGTTTGTAGAAGTGTTTATTTTACTATGTTAGCTCTAGAGTGGAGCATTGCCCTTTGTTTAGCATGAATGAGTATATTTACTATGGTTGACGGCTATTTTGTAATTTGGAAGACTTTCTGGATATAGTGCCAGAGTTCTAGTCATCGGAATTAGGTTTGTTTTGCATGAATTCTTTATGTTGAGAAAATTTGGTTTAGAAACAAGAGATCTTAGATTGATGAACTCAACAGTCAGATTGGTAGTTATTTTTGTCAGGTTTTCCACCTATCCATGTCAAGCAAAATGCAGTTGTGTTGCATGTATCTTGTAGTAGGATGTTTCGAATATAGAATAATTTGGGAGGGTTTTAATTCATGGAACCGTTCCTTGTAAGTGCCTACTGGGCACCATGTTATGTTGCCATGTTCTGGTAATTTCAACTGTGGCATGGTTTTTGATGTCAGTACCACTTTGTTAATTATGATTGTAGGTTATAAAGCTTCAGTTCTGTTTCTGTTTTCCTCTAATTCACAACAACTATGTTGCTTTTTTGTGTCCACTTTCTGTCATGCAGGCTTTGCCTTACTTTTACATCCCATATTCAGATGTATCACTTCAACTAGACGAAGAAGGTAGTATTCACTTTAGCAGCTGGTATCTTCAGGTGGATAATATCAATTGACTTTTATTGTTTGACTATCTATTTTACTGGAAATTATGTGACAACTAACAGGAATTGTTCAACTAATTGCTTTAAAAACTCATAATTTAGGGCTTGCGTGCTGTTCAATTTTTGCTCCTTTGAGCTCTTTCAACCATTTTTTTTTGGGTCTTGCTGTACATTCACTGTCATTGATGTTATGATCTGTACAATCTCTGAATGCTATATTCAAAGTTACAACAATTAGCATCAATATGTACAGTTTATTCTTTACTTGCATCCATAAGTCTCTTGTACTATTTTTTCTTTATTTCCTGCAACTATAAACTTTAGCGATTTCCTTGGTTTAATACAAAATATCATTCTGGGTAGAATTCATTATTATAGTTATTCTTGATTCCTTAGGATATTGTTCTCATTATGTTTCCTTAGGATATCGTTCTCATTATGTTTCGTTGGTGGTGATCAACTGAGAATGAGCCAGGTTGTGGGGTTGATTGTCAGTCAACGTAGCTTTAGGTTTTTGACATTTGTAATTTAAACTTTAATGTTTATTTTAGCAGGTTGTTTAGCTGTTTATCTCTCAGTTTAGCTGTACTGCATCTGAAGTTTTAACTTAAAACTATTCTATTTGTTCTTCATATGCTTTTTTTTTTCCGGTCTAGACAGTGCTTCTACAAATGCCATCTCTCTTGCAATTGAGAAGGCCTTGAAGGTTTGTCATTTTTTAAGTGGATTATATCCTGACTTGATGATAGGTAATACTTGCTGATATCATGAATGTGTATTGTGTCAAATTCCTGCAGCTCAAAGGCAATGCTGGCTTGAAACGGCAGCATGTCCATGGTTGTAGTCTAGTTCGAGCAAAGAAGTTATACGGCTTTCATTCTTCAGAGGAGTTATTTGTGAAGATTTATCTGTATCCTTATCTCAAAAATATTATTTAAAAGTGCACTGTTTGTTCTATGGTGGTTGACTTATTTTTGCTGATCTGTATCTCTCTGATTATTGTTAGTGGTTTTGAAATGTTCTTTTATTTCGTAGCTTACCTTGTACTGATATGTTCATGCTGTTATTCTTATAATTGCTTTTATCATCTTTTGCTCCTTTGGAAAGTCTATGATTTGGAGTTGACTCAGGATCACCTTGACAGAAGTTTTAGGTACCATCCACAGGATGTATCTCGGGCTGCCACTCTTCTTTTGGTATGCATTGTTGGCCATAGAACTATGAGTTTAGATAATTTCTTGACATCATTTTTATTTTAATTGAACTATGTAAGTCATTGTCTTGACTCCTTTTAGAAATTGGTTTATTCGACAGTCTGCTTATCTCTTCAAAATATGCATTAGGCTATCATGTAGTTTTTGGAGAGTATTTTCCTACATTTATGATTATGTAAATTGGATGGTGGTGGATCTTCTGTTGAAGCAGCATAAAGGTGCATGGTTAGGCTTATATTTGATACAATTAATGTGGAAGTGGACCGCTTTAGAATTTCATATGGTTTTTAGGTTCTTGTTCCTTATCATCATTAGATTGAGAAATCACTATTTCAGGTATTTCCTGCATTGCAAGGTATAAATTTAAGCAATCATTCAGGTATAGGTCGACTGAATTTTTTTTTTTGGGTTAGTGCATCATAAATTGTGAATCTTTCCTTGTGAGTTATAGGGGACAGATTGGTTGTTCGTAATACACAACTAATCATGGAATTTTATTGCTCTTTGTCCCATAAGAAAAGCACATGTTTCTTGTACAATGACATGCTGACATGTTGATATGTTGTCCTAGTTTTTGCTATTTAAGAGAAGAATATATTTATATATCAAGATGCTAATCTTTGCACCTTTGTGTATATATGTATGTAAATGGTATGTGTGTGAAATGTGCTTATATTTGAGAGTGTTTGTTTTTGTGAATATGTATGTACATATATATTTTCTTGTACATCATTATTGCCTATATGATTGGATTAAATTTGATGCAGGGAGGTGCTGTTTTGGATAGGATTGTGCAGCCTCATGAATCACACATTCCATTTCTTCTCCAGTTTTTGGCAAGTACTTTCTTCTGCTGAACAAGTGTTTTAGGCTGTCCTGATTTAGTGATTTTGTCAGTGTGTAATTTCCTAGAATTAATGGAATGTCAATCTGTATTTGCACTAATTTTTATCTTGACCTCCATCGCCCTTTCTGTAGTCCTGGTAAATCTTTTTGTTACTGCCTGTTTAATTTGTCTTTTGGTCTGTTTCATGGCATGCATGTCTCCATTGTCATTCAGTAAGGCATTGTTCTGTTGTTATTTACCTGTTATAATTTGTTTGCCTCACACATATCCTTGTGAAAGTGCAACACTTTATTGAGGTTTCCAACACTCTTCTTTCTCGAGTAGTTTGATGGTGTCTTCATTTCATATTCATCTAATTTTGGTGTATATTCCTGTTATTTCTCACTGTCTGTGTTCCCCTCTTTTGAGCACTAATTTCATACATTTCTGGAAAATCAGTCTGCAGCGCGTGTGTCCATTGTCATTCAGTAAGGCATTTTTCTGTTGTTATTTACGTGTTATAATTTGTTTGCCTCACACATATCCTTGTGAAAGTGCATCACTTTATTGAGGTTTCCAACACTCTTCTTTCTAGAGTAGTTTGATGGTATCTTCATTTCATATTCATCTAATTTTGGTGTATATTCCTGTTATTTCTCACTGTCTGTGTTCCCCTCTTTTGAGCACTAATTTCATACATTTCTGGAAAATCAGTCTGCAGCTTAACCCATGTTGATTTAGCTTTAAATATGTAAACATGCTTTTGAATACTACTATACAAGGAAGTGGTTCAACTTAGTGATTCCTAAACTTGCTGTACCTACTATTTTTCTTTTGTCATCCAATGAACCTTGATGTCTATTATTTTGTGCAAAAATTCTTAGATTGATTACCATTTGTATGGGATGGGTCATCTGCATGTCTCAAAAATTAAGTTCCGGCATCCTGTACCTGAAGTTTTCTCTCCCAGGAAAGCTGCTCACACTTTCCTACAGAGAGATCTGACAGACAAGTCAACTGGCATTGCTGCAAATACAAAGGTTAATTTCTCATTTTATTCTCAAGCTTTATAAAAGTGAATATGTACAATGCTTAGATACTTTCTTCTGCTATTAATACATCTCATTAGGTAGATTCAGGTGCAGACCCTTCTTTAGCTTCACCAATTTGGACGTCTTCTACAATTCCAGATGATTGGACTTGGCAATCTTACAGCCAGTCTGATTCCTTGGTTGATCAAAATCTATTGTCAGTTAAACGGCAAAGTATGTCTGAACTGGAGGGAGATGCTGTTGTGGAAGGTCGGTAGATTCTGTAGTACAAAAAGTCTGCATTACTTTGTCTGATCAGTTAATTCAAGTAAATGTATTGTTCAACGTTTTCAGATATTCTCAATCAGCTGTTTATATCGTATACATCCCTCTCGCAGACACGTACAGATGTGAAAATGGTTCAGTCCTTAATACCTATTTGGGAGGTTTGTTTCCATGCCATATGTGATGTTGAATGCATATTCTTTATCCTCTTGGCACATTTATGAGTTATTTTCTTATTCTAGGAGTTCGAAAGGAATGGAGAGCAGGGGCCTGCAGTTCCACCTGATCCAGGGAAACCACTTCCAGAAGATGTCTTGAGGATACTTTCAGACGGGCTTGAGCTGGAAAAAGTACTTGCTGATCTGAGTAGAGGAGAATATTCATCTTTCAGCCAGGACTTAATTAAATCTTTGACTGATAAAGGAACTTTGGTAGACAAAGTCAACTTTTTGGATGATCCAGATGAAGCATTAAAATGCTTAGAAGATGGAAATTTGCCCTCTCAAACTGATGATGGTGAAAACTATGGTAAAGGGCACCATGGGCATATGAAGCAGTTGTCTGCTGATCAATTACAAGATTCTAACCTTGTTGGACCATCAAAACTGAAGGTAATCTTGTTTTCTACTCATATTACCTTGTACCGTCTGGAGCAATTTATTAGCAGCCAAAACCACTTTTGTTTTCTAAATCTGAGTGTGTGATTAGTGCATGTGCAAATTACACGAGTTGTTCAGTCATAGTTGGAAGTAAGGTTCACAGCCTGCTTTCAAGAGGTAATAGCATTGAGTCTACCACTGGAATTTGACAAAGAGTGGCTTGCAGATTTATAATTCTTAAGAGTTGTGTATAGTTAAACTTTTTGCTTTATCTCTAGAATTAGTGGGATGTAAATCTCTGAGGTTTGAGGTAATGACTGCATCATGATTGCAAATTTCTCCCATGCTGAATAAAGTTGTTTAAGGTTTCAACTATGGTTCATTTTTCTCGTCCTCATTTGTCATTTTTTCTTTTCAAAATTGCTTTTAGCATCCTTAAGATAGAATTTATTTGATGTCTTATTGTCATAATTTTTTTACCATGAACAGTTCTCTTGTTTTTTATGCAAAAACTGTTCTAGGCCTATGTTTACAAGTTTCTATTTCACATCTAATGTTGTACCAAGGTCTGGTACAGGGTGATTTCATATTTGTGGAGGATAACAAAAGTTAGATGAAGTCGATTTATTCAGTTTGCTGCATAATTAGACTGAACTTTTCCATGTTTGTGCTATGGGTATATGTACTTAGGTCTCGGTTTATCCAATTCTGTATGTTTATGATTTCATTTTGTTGGTAACAGCTTTGGTCTGCAAATTGCTTACTTTGCCTTCTTTGTCGCTATTTTGAAATTTATGGTAATTATTATTTTTTTAGGCTTCAGATCAGGATGCTTTGGGGCTTTTGAAGTGGCTTGCATCTTCTCAAGCTGCAGAAGAAATAAATTCTGATGATGAACTTGCTCACCAGACCATCCTGAGTTCCTTTTTACCAACATCAACAGTTAATAAGGCATTGGAGAAAGCAAGCACAGATTTCGAGAATCAGTCGCAGCAAGAGTGTCAGGACATTCTTGATTCTGTTGAAGATGCAGTTGCAACTGAAGAATCAGATGATAAGGCTTCTAATTCTAATCATAATCTTCTATGCCAGACTTTACGTAATGAAGTAATTCCTCAAGTTGATGGCTCCCCTGATGATCCCAACTCAGTTCCATTTGGTGATAAGTCATCTTCAGAAATAAATTATGTACCTGAGACTTCACAACTTGCTGGTTTAAGGCTTACTGAACGCAAAAGAAAAAGACCTCAGTGGGGCTTTTTACCTGTTTCTTCAAATCGAAACATTCATAATGGTATTTCTCTCCCCGACAATTCTGATATGACTGGTAGATATGATAGTGATTTAAAAATCAATGTTGGAACTTCTTTTCATGAAAAAATTGTGGCAGACAAATGCCCAAATTGTATACAGGGTGATGCACATGGACTTAATAACTGTACAGAGTCCTCTAGTGCATTAATTGGATGCTCCATGAGGGATTTAATGAGAAAAAAACGAAGCCATTGCAGTGAGCTATCTGAATGTAGAGCTTCTGAGGTTATAAAGGTTACTAGTGACAAGGAACAGAAAGACAAGATTTTTGTTTCCAAGAAACTGACAAATGACGAAGAATGCAATAGATCTCAGATTTCCTACTCACCCAGATCTGCAGTTACAGATAAATTAGGAGAATTATGTGAGTGTCCTGCATCGGCAGAGTTCGCTAAGGTGAACACTGATGGATCTGATCTTTTTGTGCATGGTAGGTAACCTCTTTCCTCTTGATGTGATGCATCTTGTCAGATTGTAATAGTTGGACAAGTATGTTCTTCTATATAGCTTGATGCTGATAGTGACTCAGCAGAATTTGCAGGTCTCTGCACAAGGGGGATGCGTTGTTCCTCTAGGTTGCCTGGGGAACTTAAAAAAGATAGCCCACTTAAGGAGGCTATCAGTTCATGCTGTCAATCCTCCAACCATGTCGGATGTCAAATCTTTGAGAAAAATTATTCAATTTTAGACTCTGGTTTGAAGAGCAAGGTTTCCATGCATGAGATACCTGAAATGGGAAATGACAACAATAAGGACACAGGGGTGTCAACTACAGTGAATCTATTGCAGACTGAGCCCCAGATTAACAGACATGTAAAATCCCCTGGATTTTACAGTTCAAGATTGTCTGCTAGTAGCATGATAGCACACCCTGTGGAACTAATTTGTTTAACTTTGTGTCAGAAACCCCCAGTGATAGAGTGGACCGATGAACCTGATGGAGATTCTGTATTGTCACCTTCTATTTCTCAGGACCCTCATGAGCTGGTAGAAAAGGAGGAAGGAATATCTCTTCTGGGTGAAGTTGCAGATGACATTCTTCCTTTCTTCATAAATGACAACCTAGAAGGAAAAGAGCTTCGAAACCTAAACTGCCAGGAAGCAGGATATAGTTATCATCAAGATTCAATCATCGGTGTCCCTGTTCACTATCAGAATGATGGCTCCTATCTATATATGTTGACTCCTGTTCAGTCACCGCCATCAGAGGAAAATGTCAAGAGATGGCTTTCTTTAGATGGCAGAAATACTTCAAGAGAAAAGGCAGCAGATGCATCAGTTCTGTTTATATCACCTAAGCATTTGTCCGATGATCTCGTGGATTCACGGCGTCCTTTATGCCATGCTTCTAATCTGTCTTCTCTGGATTCCGAGGCAAGGTCTGAGTCCAACCTTCATCAGTTGAATCACCATAACCAGGAAAACTTCAATGGACAAGTAGAGGCTCATAATGATGAGGTGAGAACAATCCAGAAGGATGCATACAAAATTTTGATGTCTAAGCCATCAGCTGTTTTTTCACAAGAACACTCTCAGTTATCTGGTCCTGATGTGAAATCAAAGTTGACTCCTTTAAGTCAGATGGGTTTTCGGGATCCAGCTAGTGTTGGTGGGAGGCAGCAGCTAACAATTGTGAGTATTGAGGTTCAAGCAGGATGTAGGGGAGATTTAAGGCCTGATCCTAGGTTTGATGCCATTGATATTATAACTCTTGTTTTTCAAGATGATGATGATGCAATGGTTGATTGTTTCATGCTTTTGCGGTCCAATACAGTTACAACTGAAACAAATCTAGATGGAATACCTGATTGCAAGGTTTTGCTTTTCCCTGAAGAGAAGCAAGTATTTAGCCATTTCACAAAGATTATATCTATCTTTGATCCAGACACATTAATTGGCTGGGATGTTCAAGGGGGTTCCCTTGGTTTTCTTGCTGAAAGGGCTGCTTATCTTGGCATTGGTTTGCTAAATAACATATCTCGAATACCATCTTCTAGAGGTCTCAATACTACTGAGGAAGATATGCCAGATGATATGTCTCTTAAGGTGGCTACTGCTGATCCTGTGCCTTTAGATGGTGCTATCGTTGAAGATGAATGGGGCCGAACTCATGCCAGCGGTGTCCATGTTGGTGGTCGAATTGTTCTTAATGTTTGGCGATTAATGCGAGGTGAAGTTAAGCTTAGGATGTACACTATTGAGGCTGTTGCTGAAACTGTATTGAGGAAGAAAGTTCCATATATTCCTTGCATGGTGTTGGCAAAATGGTTTTCAAGTGGTCCTGGTCGTGCAAGATATCGCTGTATGGAGTATTTGTTAGTGAAAACTAAGTTGAACCTTGATATCATGAATCAACTTGATATGATAAACAGAACATCAGAACTTGCTCGAGTCTTTGGTATTGACTTCTTTTCTGTTCTCTCTAGAGGTTCACAGTATCGAGTTGAATCAATGTTTCTTAGACTGGCACATACACAAAATTATGTTGCCATTTCTCCTGGAAATCTACAGGTTGCTTATCAGCCTGCAATGGAGTGTCTTCCTCTTGTGATGGAACCAGAGTCTGGCTTTTATGCAGACCCAGTTGTTGTTTTGGATTTTCAGTCTCTTTATCCATCAATGATAATTGCATATAACCTTTGCTTTTCTACATGCCTTGGAAAAATCACATCTTCAATGGCAAATATTCTTGGTGTCAGTTCTTATTCACCAGATATGAAGGTTTTGCAGAATTTGAAGCATGAAATACTGCTTACTCCAAATGGTGTTATGTATGTACCTTCAAAGTTTCGTAAAGGAGTACTGCCCCGCTTACTGGAAGAAATATTATCAACTAGAATTATGGTAAAAAAAGCAATGAAGAAATTAGCTCCATCACAGCAGGTGCTACACCGTATATATGATGCCAGGCAACTTGCCCTAAAGTTAATAGCAAACGTGACTTATGGCTATACAGCTGCTGGATTTAGTGGTCGCATGCCCTGTGCAGAGCTAGCAGACAGTATTGTGCAATGTGGTCGTAGAACACTAGAGGCTGCTATTTCCTTTGTGAACAATCATAACAAGTGGAAAGCAAAAGTTGTATATGGTGATACTGATAGGTAGAAGTTTGATATTTATTTTATTCTATCTTTCAATCTTTTTATTTTTTATATATCTGAGGACGTCCGTTGAATAGATCTTTTGGCACTTAAGTTGCAAGTATTCAGATAGCAACGTGCTTATCATAATATGTTTCACGGTTTAAAAGTATTGCTGACCAAATGGTTTTTTGACTAGTGCAGCATGTTTGTTCTCCTTAAGGGACGTTCTCGTAGGGAAGCTTTCCACATTGGTAATGAGATTGTGTCAGCAATAAGTGCAATGAATCCAAATCCTGTTGTGCTAAAGATGGAAAAGGTCTATCAACCTTGCTTCCTCCTTACTAAGAAAAGGTATGTTGGCTACAGCTATGAGAGTCCTGACCAAAGTAAGCCAAAGTTTGATGCAAAAGGTATTGAGACAGTAAGGAGAGATACATGTGACGCTGTATCCAAGACAATGGAGCAGTCGCTGAGACTTTACTTCGAACATCAAGATATTGATAAGGTAACCTATGTTTCTGGAAATCTTTGGTTATTTACCAGAATTTTGATACTCTTTAATATTGCAGGTTTTGTTGGGGATTGAATTAGACAATTTGCCTTCTGAGAAATTGGCTTTAAAGTCAATCTTATAGACATTGAAGAGAAATTGACTGCTTTCTTCTGCTTTCTCTGTTTCCTTCTTCTCATGGTGCTGTTTTTCCTTACCTTCTCAAATTCCCTCCACTCAGCCTCTCCTCTTCAGGTCTTCCACAGTTCTTCCAACCAAAAACCCCATTTAATTTTTATGCAAAAGCACCAAGGTGCCACATTGGTAGTACTACTAGTATTGCGATCTTCCATTTCCTCAGCCCTCGTCTCTTCTTGTCAATTTTAATTTTCCCTCTTCTTCTTCTGGTACTGCTGTTGTTTCTTGGCATTGTCTTACTCCTGATGAGGATGTGAAGGGCTTATGTTTCTGTTACCACTTCACTTTGGATTTGAGGGCAGTGGGCCCACTACCAAAATTATTCTGCCTGCTCTCTACATTAGCATCTTTATCTATCGCAATTTCAGGCTGCCAGAATTTGGCCAACACAGCAAATGAAAGAGTGCATTATGCTGGTGGTAGTTTGATATTGTTTGGTGGTGGTGGTTGTGGAGAGGAAATTATTAAGATTGAGATGCGGCAGAAGTGGAGTTCACGTGTGCTTTTGCTTCTGCTGTTTGACTTCATTTTTCTTTCTCTTATGTGCATAGATAATTTATGGAGAGGGAGGAGGAGTTTGAGAAGAAAAAGAATAGTAGTAGCACAAGAAGCAGAAAGAAACAGATAAAGAAGAAGAAGAGGTCAATTTCTTCGAGATCTACTAAGTTGATTTTTCACGAGTTGATCCAATATCATATCTTTAATTCCAATAATTATATAAATCATATTTGGGTAAATAACCCATGCTTCTCTCTTTGCCTAACAACATATCAAAAGTTTCCTAGATGAGAATGTCTCAGCTCAGCTGACTGATGTATATATGTGCTTGACGATTTAAGTTTTGAACTAAACTAGGGTAATGCTTGTTGAGAATAAACACTTCCTCTGGCGCATTACAGGTAAAAGTGTTATTACATTGGCTTACCCATTTTAATTTTCTATGGTGTGACCCTCTAGCTTTTATGGTTGGCAATCAGCATATCATGACCTGTCAATTCCATTCCGTTAAAAAATGGAGTTATTTTTTGTTTTCAAATTGATCAATAGGAAATGGATTATAAATGATTTGCTCTAATAAGATCTTGGAGATGTTCCTGGTACGCTTGCAGTGGTGTTTATGTGAATTCTTACTATGAGAAATTCGGACTTCCTTGACTTGAAGATTTCACCTTTTATTTTTGGAATTTATTAGTAATCTGTTACTTTTGTCTTATTTGTTCATCATAGGTTAAGGCATACCTATTGCGTCAATGGACACGGATTATATCTGGCAGAGTCTCTCTTCAAGATTTTGTTTTTGCAAAAGAGGTCTGCTTAGGCACTTACAGTTCACGGGCGTCATCACTTCCCCCATCAGCAATTGTAGCCACTAAAGCAATGAGGGCTGACCCGAGGGCAGAACCACGCTATGCAGAGCGAGTTCCTTATGTGGTAGTTCATGGTGAACCTGGTGCCCGACTGGTAGATATGGTTGTGGATCCAATGGAACTTCTTGCTCTTGATTCTCGTTACAGATTAAATGAGGCCTATTATATTAGGAAACAGATAATTCCAGCTTTACAGCGAGTTTTTGGGCTCGTTGGAGCTGACTTGAACCAATGGTTCTCTGATATGCCGCGTCCTGAAAGGGAAACTGTTGGTAAACGTCATTTTTATGCTCCAAATCAACATCGAACTAGAATTGACTATTACTACCTATCACGACACTGTATCCTCTGTGGTTCACTAGTACAAGCATCAAGCTATTTCTGTCATAACTGTTCTAAGAGTGAGGCAACTGTTGCAACAGCTTTGATCGGAAGAACTGCAAAACTGGAAAAGGAAATCCAACATCTTGCTGCTGTAAGTATTAAAATTAAGTTTCATCTGCTACTGATTTATGGTTATGAGAATGGTAAATGGTGTTTCAGGATCAGTGAATGTTTCAAGGAATCCAAGGATCTCCTTTAATTCTATGTGACACAGAGATCTGTTTTTAGTTTTACTGATTGTGCTTGTGTTGTGTCTTCTGGATCCTTGCTTCATCAATTTCTCTCTCTCTCTCTCTCTCTCTCTTTGCATTTAACCTGGACCTGCATGTTTTCTTCTAGTCTACGCATCTGGTGATTGTAACTTGCTGTGTACATCAAGTACACACACAAACAAAGACAATCACAGGCATATGTGTATATTTCCCTTTTCTTGTGGCTACAAGTTTCTAACCAGACTGACTACGTACTTTGGTTTTGCTTGCAGATTTGCCGGCATTGTGGCGGTGGGGACTGGCTTTTAGAAAGCGGGGTGAAATGCACATCTCTCGCATGCTCTATTTTCTACGAGAGAAGGAAAGTTCAGAAAGAACTGAAGTCTCTCGCTGCTGCTGCTACAGAACTTGGTTTCTACCCTACTTGCATGGCTGAATGGTTTTAAAAATATGTACATCGGCTACCTTGATAGTAGAACTGGAAGAGATACATCTCACCTGTGAATATGTCTGTATATTTGTGTACATATGCTCCATAAGTTAGTTTTTGTTTTCCCCATCTGTAGCGCGAAGAGATGCCTATTGCCTAACATCCTTTGCTTGATTAGTCCGTTGTAAAAGTTACCGTCCCGTAAGGCTTGGTCTAGCTTATAGCCTTATACTGTTGTAAATTATTCGAACAAATGAACGTCTGCAACTTCCAACAAATATGATCTCTTTGATCTACCATCTGAAGCAATGATGTTGATATTTCTTTAGCATTTTTGGATCTTGTGCATTAGAACTAGGATAAAATCCACCTTATGGACCAAAATTCTTCCGAGTACGGGCAAGGATGTTGTCTTGCTGATGCCTAGAACTTTTAAGCATAAGAGTGACAATAATACTAGAACATTTAGGTTGCATAACAGTTTCCAGTTGACCCCAAATATCCAGATTTGAGCCATATGGCCAATCAGTATGCAGATGGTAGTGAACTTCTTACCAACATCAAATCAGTCAACTGACTACTCGATTTGGGCTGATAAATGGTTTTGGATTTTGATGTACTGTCTTAACAAAGTGATACTTCTAAGCGCTGCCATGCCTGCGAAATGCGAGCAAAAGATTTTTTTTTTTTTTTTTCCAAGACGGCAACTTTCATTTCTTCAACAAAACGTATTACAAAGACAGAGGCAACTGCCTCACCAAATCTGCTTGAGACTATCTGCTCGAGCAGTCTCAAGCAGCCAAACTGGGAAGTTCTGCTTCCATTCAGTTACATTTGTCAAGTTTATAGCAAATTTTGCTAATTTATGGCTAACGTAGTTGTTCTCCCTCCTAGTGAAGGAGATGCAACATTCATTAAATTCATACTTTAACCTTCTAATATCCTTTATCACAGTAGCAGTGATCAAATCATCTTCCTCCCCATTCACCTTGTCTACCACTTGCTTGCAATCTGATTCAAATTCTACTTTCTTCCATCCTTGTTTAGCTCTTATCATTGCACCTCTGAGTGCTAATGCCTCTTCAAGCTTTGCACTAGAGCAGCTTGTTCTGATGATAAAATCTTCTTAGATGATAAAATTTTCTTGTTCTGAAATCATTTGTCAAGGTTTAACTCTCAATGCTACTATTCTATTTCTAGCACTGAATTTTCGTGTTTGTGAATGATAAATTCGTTTTTTTTTTCCCAACAAAACACATGTCAATGTTCAACTCTCATTGTCGCTAATGTCATACTAATTTTTCCCTTACAAAATTTAGTAAATTAATACACTCATTAACTATTATTAGAATAATTTATACTCAAATCAAATGTAGGACTATCAATAGAACCCGATTTGAGCCAGTCCCAAACGAGATCGATGGACCTTATGTTTAATAGTGCAACGGATCTCTGTTGCAGTCTTTGTATCACTCTCTGTCCCACTTTTTATTATATTATTATTTTTCCTTTATAAATATCACATTTTAGTTCTTTTTTGTTTCCTTAAGATCCAATATTTATTAACTGAGTAAAAAATAAATAGAACAGTTTCAAAAAAGTATATATATATATATATATATATATAATAGAAAATCAAAAAATACAATAGAAAATTCATAAAAAATTCTCATTTTTCACGCATTTTGATTTTTTGAGTTTGTTAAATTTTATGTATTACTTAGTTAATAGTTATTGGATTTTAAGAAAACAAAAAAAAACTAAAATATGATATTTATGAAGGAGAAATAGCAATACAATAAAAAGCGGGACAGAAGATCCATTGCAATTTAATAGGACGGTGTAGAACTTAAACCTCAATATTAAACCTGCTTTTATCATGAGTCGAGCCTGAACTTTGCTAAGTTCAAACTCAATTAATGCCTGACCCAAGTATATTAGTATAACATTTAATTGTACGTGTTATAACATAAAATTTTGAAAGTTTGTATATAAAATTTGTAATAATTCATAATTATTAGAATATATTAGATATAATTATTATGTATTTATGAGTTTGCGTTGATCCCCATTTGAGCCCGAACCTCTTATTGAAGTGTGAGTTGAATTTGAATCTTCTAACTTAGATTTGAGTACAAAAGTCCGAAAATTAGAAAAATTTATTATTTTGTGAGTCGTGTTCTTGTCAAAACCTAGAACATGGAATCAAATTGATAACCCTAGTCAAATGAGAGTCAAAGTTAAATTTACTTAAATACTAAAACATTGCTTGATAAAAAGAAAAGTTCCTAATAACGAGTTCAGCTGGTAACTACATGCAGTGGTATCTCATAGGTCACTAGTTTAAATCCTGCTGTGCTAAAATTGCTATACATCCTTGGCAGGGCTCCGTACAGCCGTAAATGTTAGGATTCCCTGTGTCGACAAAAAAAAAATAAAAAAATCTCCCATCGTCTCTCTCTCTACCTGAATACCTTAAGTCCACCTACTAATTAATTTCTAAACATAACCTTTTTCCATTCTAAAGTTAAAAAATTATGAATCTACAAATATCATTCAAGGATAATGCCCTAGCAAAATTATAGTAAAAATCAAGTTTGACATGGTAAAACTAAAGAGACATAAAAGGGGAAAACACAAAATTTTGGATTAAGGGGGAAAAAGAAAAATACATATTTGTGACACATTTGATCAGGGTTTAACAGGCTCCTCTTTCCCTCTCTCCTTTCTCTCAGTCTCAGGGTTTAACTTCTCCACCACCAGCCAAAATGCTCCTCCTCCGCAGACGCCTGAAAAACCTGCACTTTCCGGCACGTTTCCACCACCACCACCACTACCACCACCCTAACAGAATATTCCCTAAGCTACCCTTCTCTTCTTTATCCTCTGCCCAGTCCCAGACCACCACCTCCTCAGACCCCACTCCAAAACCCTCTTCTCTATCCGCTCGTATGAGCTTTGTATTCGAACAAATCGACGCTATTGAGAAGGAACGCTCCCAGAAAGACCAAACCCTGCAGCGAATTCGTGCCTGGCGCGAATCCAAGAAACAACAACAACAACCCACCACAGACTTAAGTCCGGCCGAGGCCGAGTTGTCAGAAAAGAAATTGGAATTGAAGAAGGACGAAAATGAGGTTAGTCATAAGAATGCTGGGGGATTGTTGGATGGTAAAATAAAGGAAGTTGAGCTGGTCCATCCGTGGCCTGAGTGGATTGAGTTAATGGAGAGATTAGTGCAGCAGAATTATTTTGATCATAAGAGGAGAGATGAAGATGGTATGATGGAAACTGTGGGGTTTAATTTATCTGAAATGGTTGAAGAGGAAGGATTTGATTTTACTAGGGATTTCAAGACTGTTCAGACTGCTGTTCTGAATTTTGGACGCGACCGGTTTGATATTTTGAGGTCTGTTCTTGTTAATTTTCTTTGATATTGTGGAATTTTGTATGATCATGTGGGGCACTGTTATAGCGTTTGATAAAATGTGTGAAGGTAAAATTATACAAGTGGGATGATTGATCTTACTATGGAAATGTGTTTGTTCAAGATGGGAAACTGTTTTTAGATACTTTAGTTACGGTAAATTTTGTGTTTTTGCAGAATGTGATAAAGGAAGATTGCCTTTGATTTCTGATAGACGATTTGGGATACATTTTGCTACGATTCTGAGTTCAGCTAAGTAGGAGGGCCATGGTATTTTTACTGTGCCACATAGGTTTATGCCATGAATGTTGAAACAGGGATCAAGTGTTGAGTTCAGATGTGGATTTTGTAACAAGGGGGAAAAATGTAAAGAGAACATTTTGAAACTAAAATTTTAGTATAATTATGTGATGGGGTGACAATGCTTTGTGCACTCTTCTTTCGATAGCTTTTGATTATTTTGACTTTTGATGTGAAGAATTACTAGCTGCTATCAAAGTTTTATATTCTAGCAATTTCTTTCAAAGGTGAAGACAGGCAAGATAATTTATTTTCTGATTTTTGGTTCTATTTTTTTATTGCCTACTTGCAACATTTTTTTTTTTGGCGCTGAAAGTAGCATCCCCTTTTCTTAGGTAGTTCTTAAAATTATGCAAATATATGGAGTATAGCGTTTCAGGACAAACTACTTGTAATTTTTCTACTGATGAAAGCAAAAGGTGTAATGATATGTCTCCTTTTTTTTTACTGTTTAGAAAAGTAAGATTTATTTCAGTAATTGCTTGTGTTCATTCTTAATTTGCAAATATTTCAGGTCAATGTCAAGACAGGATCTTCAAATTTTGGTTGGTTACGGATGCCCTAGTGCGGACAAGAAGGTGGTTTTTTCTGCAAAATTGTTGAGGAAACACGTCCACCTGGATGAGGGAGATGTAAGTTGGGAGTTAACTTTTCAGATAATGAACTTGAAGACTTATTGATGTGTGCATGTCAGATAGCGAGTTTAGTTTGGCAAGAAAATTTTTGTTTCACATTGTCTAATTAAACTTGAATTTTCTCACAACTGGTTCTTGTCGAGGCAAAAATTTTATCTACCTTTTATTAGTCTTGATATACAGACAAAGGAAGCTGAAATAAGCACCCTTTTTTTTGCATGTGGATCTATTACAACATCATGTAATGCACTTATGCTTCAGAATGTGGGTATCTAGCAGACTAGTCTTCATTCGTTTACAAGCAAATATAGAGAAGGATCTCACAACTATATCAATACTGTAAATTATCCTCTTTATGCAGCAAAGGCTTGAGATAGTTAAATGGTCAGTATTACTATTTCCTCAAAAGTTGGTATTATCACCTTCTATAGTGCAATCACGTGTGCATAAATGCTCTGGAATCTAGAAAACTACTATTATAGTATTCAATTTTTTGATATATAAGCGAACAATCATAAAGAAGAGTCTGTAGTCATGTTACAGAGGTTATTCTCTGAGAACAGGCAAAGGCTTGAGGTGGATGATCTCAATGCAGTGAAAATCCTAGAATTTTAGACCTCTTATGTCATCTTGACACCGTTCATAAATTTATCAACTTTGAAAACCTGCGTTCTTGGTTATTGTTTCTTTTGTGGCTGTTTGGTCTACCATGGTCACCTTTTTTTGCATTTACTACCACCTGACTGCCTGATCAGCTGCATTTTGATGTGCATGTATCATAAATAGAGGACAATGCCCCACTAAATTTGCTTAAGCATCTTTGTGCTTAAATCCAGTCTGTATCTGCTGTAGAGGGTTTAAGTAACTGCCTAAGCTAAGAAGATTGGAATATGATCCTTCAATTACCTCATTGAGAGCAAGAAACATGTCTCCAAGTTCTTGTGCTTTTCCCCCCAATTCAATTCAATATTACTATAATGTGCTTCCACTCTTTTCTTTTTTTATTTAAGTTTAGCTAGTTATTTTAACTATGAGATTGGAAGAAATGTGAAGACAATAGAAAAGAAGCCATAGCCATAGCCATAGCTAATAGAAAAGAAATGTGGTGTAAGTACTAGAGTTTTCAATATGCCAATAAATTTCTGTTTACCAATAGATTTTTTTTTTTCAAGGTTTGTAGTTCCTGCAGTTTGAGAAGTTCTTGTGAAAGAGCATATCTGCTTACAAATAAAGAGGATGAAGCCAGGACCATGGATGTCATGCGTATGTTATTGACATATGGCTTTGATGCAGTAAATGGATCAGTTGCAAATAAGTCTCTTATGAAGATGAAAACTCTGAAGACTGTTGTACGCAAATTAATTCATGATGTGGTAAAGTTGAGTGCAGTACCAATAGATCCAAATCTTCCACCTCCTGTTATTAAAAAGCCTCCACCTAAGGTGAAGCAGCCACCTCCCCCTCCAAAGAAGCGCGTAGGACGTGATGACATTGAAATGAAAAAGGGTGATTGGCTTTGCGTAAAGTATGTTTCCTTCTTTCTTTCAGTGCTTTCATGTGCTATTTTTCTGGGTTTTGAAATCAATCAAGAACACAAGGATGCATATATGAAGACCCTTTTTTGTGAATTTCTTGCTCTGTATCATCCTTTTTCTTTTCATTTTCTCGGCTGGATGACATGTTGGAGGAACTGTTTATGTTGTTCTATACATTCTTTGGTAGCAGTAAATCCAAATTTGTGGTTATTATGTAGTTGGTGCATAATGAGGTTGAATTATGTGCTACTGGGAAATGAGGAGCAAACTCGTCTATTTGCTTGTCTGACATAATGATGTATGACCTTTCATCGTTCATGTCACCACATAAAGTCGCAGTTTATCTTATGTTTTCTTCAGGGAAAGTATTTGGTACTTCGTAGTAATATATCCTGACTTTTCCAGCTAACTGATAAAACTTACTAAGAGGGAAAATATGTAATTTGGACGCCAGTTGCCTGCTTAAGTGAAGTAGAATATTCTGCCATGTGTTGTGATGAGTCGTAGGGGCTTCTCGCCATAATCTAAAATAAAGATTAAGAGCAATTTACCTTTTAGTTGCTTTCCTTAGAATCAGAGTGAATTTTGAGTGATGAACTTTACTGTGTTTGTTTTGTATTTGCAGGTGTGACTTTATGAATTTTGCAAAGAACACGGTGTGCCTACAATGTGATGCCAAGCGTCCTAAGAGACAGCTTCTTCCAGGAGAATGGGAGTGCCCACAGTATGTATCGTGTCTGCTCCTCTTTAGTTTTGTCATCTTACACTCTCTGATCAATTAGTTGCGTATCCTTAATGGAATAAATTTTGTTCATTAGTCTAATCTCTACATGTTCAAGCTTGTATCTGAACTGTTCACCAATTTTCTCATTTTACTTTAAGAAGGAAAACTGAAAATGAGTATTGCTTACAGATCAAGCCTGTTGTGTACAGTACAATGGCTTTTGATGGGATGCTTTATTTCTTATTAATGTTGATCCCATGCTTTTGCAGGTGCAATTTCTTGAACTATAGGAGAAACATGGTGTGCTTTCATTGTGAACACAAGCGCCCGCCAGATGAATTTATGGAGAGTCAAGTGCAAGATAGGCAACACAGTCCAAGGAGATTGGAGAATATTTCAGGCAGGCCAGAGATTTCCAATGCATGGAATTTTGATTTTGATGACAATGAATCTGATGGGGCAGATGTTGCTGCCTTTGAGTATGCAGATTCTAAGAAGATGCATGAAGATTTTCCTTCAGATAAGCAACCACATGCAGGGGTTGCTAGGGCATGCGAAGATGGATTGCACAAGGATTACAGGTCTGCTAGAGATACTGATCCTGTCAATCCCGGATTTGGATTCAACGATTTTGATGATGAAGATGATGATGTGGAAAATTATGAACTTGATACTCGGAATGATGCACAGAAGGCTTCTACTGTAGATTTTTCTGAGCTTGATGTTGACTCGCATTCAGAAGATGAAGACAGAACAGGTCATGATTGGACTCTTCGTCGTAAGTCCAATTTCCAGGCACAAAACAAGCCATCTAAATCAACACGTAGGGGAGTCGGTTTCTCTGGCTCTGATCCTGAAATAGATTTTGGTACTGATGATGAGCTTCCTATTCATCCGAACTGGAAATCTAGTCATGTCAATCAGAGAAGTAAAAGAAGAGGTGGCGTGAGTTTTGGTTCAGATGATGAGGTTAGCTCTGGCACTGAATACACCAATAATGATTTTGGATCCAGGCAGATGAAAGGGAATAAATGGAAGTCAAGTAGGAGTTCAAGAAAGCAAAATAGTTTCGACAGTGATGATGAACCGTTCTCTGATTTAGAATCCAACAATGACAAAGATAAATTTGGAAGTAGGAAAGCAAGCCTAAGTAGCCAAAGAAACACATCTAATGGCAGAAGAAACCGGGACATGGGAAATCTTCGCGGATCTTCCCGAGATTCTCCTAAAAGATTTGAAGATACTGATTATGGCCATAGAAAATATACTAGAGATGGTCGTTCACAGAATTTTAGAAGCCCTCAAAGAGAAGGATCTTTTAAGCAGAGACGAGATAAAAGATTTGAAGATGATGACAATGGCTACAGAAGTGATTCTAGAGGTGGTCGTTCGCAGAATTTTAGAAGTTCCAGTAGAGAAGGGTCTCATAAACAGAGACAAGGTAGATATGGTAACTATAACAAATCTGGGGACAGTTATTTGGATGATGAAAGACACAGGAGGCCCCGTGTAAACGTGAGATAAACTTCATCGGATTATCCGACTACGGCTACACTTTTTGTTACTTGTTGATATTCATTTTATCTACTGATAAAAGGAAAGATTATTTGGTTGCTTTAACTTAGAAGGCCATGTTGGAGGTAGTTGTGAAGGTAGAAGTTTGCCTACGAAGTTAATAGGCCGAGATAAAATCCATGGGGAGTAGCATTACCCTGAAATGTATATAGATATTGTTTTTTGTTTGGGCTATGATGCCAGTTTATCATCAATATATCAATGCCAGTTTTCTGTTTGGGCTTTAATGCCAGTTTGTCGTCTCTGTTTCTGCTCCATGCACATCTGCTTTTTTACATGTCTTTCAATTCAGACTTCACATTTCTTGGAGCCATAGTAAACATAGCAAAATCCAAGGCCTCTGATTTTCAACCTCTAAGTGGAAAGTCCTTGCACCTCCCAAAAGGCCAAGCAAGAGTTCATTAAATGATGTCAAAGGCCCCCGGGGTTAGATCACCCGGTCTGCGGCTGGCAAACCACTCGCAAGGTCGTGGGATCAAACCTCACCTAACGCCTGGGTGCGGTTGGGGTGGCGCTGTACTCCAGGCGCAGGGGATTAGTCGGGCCGCCTTCGGGTCTTGACCCGGACACCCCTGTGTTGACAAAAAAAAAAAAAAAAAATGATGTCAAAGAAGGTGAACCACCGGAAACGGGGCGGCATAAGTTGACTTCTGTTCATTTTTCAAACCATACAAGTTTACACCAAATGTAATAAGAATTACATGGATAGGTTTGTGAGGCCTCAGATGCATGAACAACCACCAATCAAAACAACCCTATAACGACCAAAAGGAGTGCAAGAACATCTGTAGATGAAGCTTCAGAGAAGTTCAGAGCTTGAAGTTCCTCAATCCTAGCCTATTCAAGGAAACTGTTGGATGGTGCTAGCAATATGTACATATAGCTTTTAGCTTAATCGGATAACGTTCATTTTTTATTTTTTTTTGTCAATCGTCACTTTATCTATAGTATCCTACACCATCCTAGTATAAGGGGGAGACCCAACTTTTATGTTCTCAAAATGTAACAAGAGTATAAAAGTGATGGTGTTTACCGTTAAAGGTTAAGTTATTACAGCCTTGCAGGAGACTAAACGCATCAAACAATTAACTCATTTTTTGGGAGAATTAATTTGACTATTGCAGATTTGTCAAGTCTCATCCCATGTTTAGGACATTCAGCTGTTTCCCTTTTCCTTTTCCTTCTTATTTTTTTATCCCTTTTTGGCACAGTAGTGCGTCGAGTCAGTTGCTGTCACTTAGAACTAATTCACCTCTCCAACTCATGAAACCGTCCAATAAACATGAGCAACCATGAAAAATCTCGCATGGAGATGATATTTTCCCATATATATTTCTTACTTAAAGTTGTGTGTTGAATAAAAAAGTTTGTTGTACGTTCTTCCTATGTGGTTTCAAATTTTCAATGCCTCTATTGCTCTATTTTCTATCACCAATCTTTGGATGTCTATCAGGTAAGAAAATGCAATCTTTTCATGTTTTATTGGATTAGAGAACTATCTGTTCTGAAGAAAAAACACTAAGAAAGTTATTTATCTCCTTGATCATCACATGCATACACAAAAATTAATGATCACAACTGAGGTTAGGTATATAATATTGACAAAAGATTTGCCATGACAACAAAAATGGTTTCTTATAGATTATCCAAACTTTTAAATAGGATTTTCCAGCGTAGATTAGTGAAGCAAAATGTGAGTGTAATCAAGATATCGAAATCCTAATTAATGCGTTTCTAAGGTCACATATTCCTAATCTTTAATCTACAAGATTGTGAAACACATTTTGTAGTGCAAAAATTTCACATATTCTAGTTGTTATGACACACATAATCATCCCAAAAGAGAGACTTGGATTTTAAAATGTTATTAAACATAAAAAGCTATTTAGTGAACGTATAAGTTTTAGTAGGTTTATAATATATACCATATTATCGGCGTATAAAATTTGATAATTTAGCCTGTAATCGAAAACTTTGGAATCAAAATTCAATAACTATTCCTGCAATTTTTTTTTAATCAAACTTTAAAGATTGAATATCAGTCAGTTTTATCGGTATCTAGTATTCGATCTAAATTAGATTTATGGCTATCACTGAGACATCCTTAGTAGAGCTCAATATCCTATATGACACAAAAATTTGGCAGGCCAAAGCTGTTTCACTTCTCAAAAAGATTTAAAAAAAAAAAAAAAAAACTGCAATGCAAATTTAAGAGCATAAAATTCCAAATATGAGGATATACTTCTAAATTTAGTATTGGTATAGTGGCATATATTTAGTCGAAAAGCTATTTTCAATTGTTTCCAAAGGTTTTGAAGCAATAGTAATAAGAGCAACTATGCTCATATGTAAACATCGAAGTAGTTGACTCGGTGGACACAGAAGTTATTGTGCTTGGAAAATGCATCGACTTCCATGATAGGAGAATTACTTCATTTCTCTAATTAATGAAACGTTCTCATCCACTAGACATGAGCAACCACAAAGAATTTTGCAGTGAGATTTGCACTGAGGCAAATACCATGACAAAGGGCTTGTTCTTGGTTGATTATTTTAACTATTACAGATTCCAATTTTGGATAATCAATTTTTGTGATACTCTCGATTGCTTCTTTTTTTTTTATTCTAATTATAGATCTTTTTAATGAGTAAAAAAAAGCTAACATCTATAATCATTCAAAGAGTAACTTTTATTGATTCTAATTATATTCTTTCACTAGACTTGGCAAAATCATTTGTGGAACTCATCATTTGCTGTTTTCCCCGTTTCTCTCCATTTTTCTGCTCTTTTCCAATATTCGATTCCAGCAAAAGTCCAATTCTCCAATGTCCAGTTGGATTGAAAAAACTGTGTAATGGATTATTAAAAGATTTTTATGTTAGATATTTTCAAATTTTGAAAAGTTGTAAGACGGGGGGCCCGTCTTAGGACCCGACATAAGACCCATCACTTTTCTGGTTCCTGCAATGCTCAGAAATTGTTCAAGTCTACTTGGCACCTCTTCATAGTTTTTACAGTTAATTACTATCTAAATGGTGTTTAAACATTCAAAAACTGTCTGAACACTTGCATTGATGTTGAGGAATCTTTTGACCAACATAAATACACAAATCAGTGGTAAAATGTTGCAACTCTCGATCATTTTCAATCTCAACTCTATGAAGGTCTAGTAGAAATGATTTATTGCAAAAAATCATTTTCCTACTACTAGAATTATATGCAAAAAACACACTATTGTTCAAGTAGGTTTATCTAATTTTGTGCAAAAGTTAAGACAAATACCCTTCAAATTATCCTAAAGAATATTTGTCCAATGTCTTTGCATACAAAATTCTGGACAAATAAACCCTAAAGAAAAGTGATCTTGAGCCACGATTTAAAGTTTTTTTGTATCATTTGCTTTGTAATTTTTAGTCATTTTCACCTGTATTATCCCCAACACTTTAACCAATGAAATGCATAAACAACAGCAAAAAGAATTAATGGATAATACAAAGAGCTTTAACCAATGAAAACACAAAGATCGCATCCCATGCATGCATGCTTGAAACCGTCCAATGTTGCCAAATGCGAATGAACTGCAAAAAAAAAAAAAAAAAGGCATCGTCGATACATTGTTGAATTTGACAAATACCAAAACCATGCAAATTTTAAAGACTGCAATTAATAATAAAATCTGTACTGTAAATTCAAGCAGCTTCTCCTCGTTGGAATATTTTATTTTATTTGGGATATTTGACCGGACTAATGATATATTGATAATGTCATTAATGTTTAAGTAGTGACATAACATCTATTTCCCTTTTTGCCCCAAGTCAGCTAATTAAATTATGAGAAATTATCAACTAACATATATTCAGTTGAAGTATTTAATTGACTGAAATTATAGTCCAGGGACCGACCATCATCTCAGTTTTTGTAGAATATATAGTTAGAGTAACTATACAGCTAGTGACGGAGCCATATGTATGCATGGTATGTAAGTTTTTTTTTTTTGTTTGTTTGGGGGGGGGGGGGGGGGGGGGGGACTTAACTTTGAAAAAATTATTTTTAAGTTTAGAAAATTTTAAGATTTTTAAAATTACATCTTATTTAAACCCCATTAATTTTAGCAAGTTCTCTTTTTTATCCATATATATTGACCCACAAACAATTAAAAGTTCATAAGTACTAATATCACAAGAATTTTGGATCTACTTAAAGTTAATTATGGAAGTTATTTGTAGAATAAATTCTTTCTAAGTTTCCAAATTCAAATAGAGAGAACGATTTTCACTTCTAAATTTAAGCATACTATGAACTTCAAAACATATTAAATTTAGAAAAAATATACATGTTTAACACAACACCTTGGTGTTCAAAGTTATTTAATTATTTTAATGATTTTGACATTGTGTTCAAGTTTGATTTATTTATTTATCAAGTCGAATTTGAACAAGTTTTTATCGAGTCATTGGAGAGTACTTGTAATTATATAAAAATGAAAATGCATTGGTTCAGAGTTCAAGCCGAGACCAATATAATCTCCAAAATTAGATGATGGCAAACATTTGATGAATGTGAGTGGGGTTGGTGAACTTATGGTTTCGTATTTGGAAACTTTATTTTCGACAATTAATCAACTCTTTCTAGCTCGGAGAATTTGACAGTAACCTGCAGGTTTCACATATAGGAAGTGGTTTAGCCATAATCTTTTGGTTCTTTGATTTTGTTGTAAGCGGCTGTGTCCTCGCAGTTGCAATTATGGAGGCCATCCAAAAAACATCAACAGAAGAAGATGCAAGAACTTCTACCTGGAGGTTTCGGTCCTGGCCAATCCATTATGCTGTCTTAATTAATCAAGTAAGTTCGTCCCAATTGATTTTTTTCTACGATTAGTATGTTCAATATAATAGTTTTTTGGTTGCATTTTGCAATAATAATTTTTACTTTTGCCATTAGTCTGGTTTTTTTCTAGATATATATGTTTCTTCTTTTAGTTTTCACTAATCTTCTAAACTCCTTTCCCTCGATTAATTTTCTGTTACTTTCATTATATGAAAGTTTGTTTATTGACTTTAATTACCATCAATCTCATACTCTATGGTGATAACTTTGATGATGATTGGCCAATATGATTGGTTTCATGATTTGTCATATAGGTCAAATGATGAGTTAGAATATTTTTCAACCGTAAGAAGTTATACAAAACATGATGCTACATTCCTTTTTGTTAAATAATCTACTTTTG